CCTCCCCACTGAGAGCTGGTGTGTGGGGAGAGGACTGGTGCACTCTGGCTGCTGTTGCATCATCCAGGCGCACACTGTTGGTGGTGGAGGGGATCCCCATTACCTGTAAAGCGCTCAGGGACCCAGAGCAGCAGCAGGCCGGGGTAGCGGGGCGAGCCGAGGGAGAGGAGAGAGACAGGCAGTGTGGTCTCCCCGCCGCAGCCAGTGGTGAGAGTTAGTTAGCTGCACGGAATGAACGCCTTGTCACAACTTGCTGAGCTTTCAGAGCGCAGAGCACCTGAACAGGAAAACTTAATCAAGGCAGAGAGACGGAGAGGTTGAAAGGCGAGGGGGTGGTTTACACATTGCGTGTGTGTGTGTGCGTGTGTTTGTGTGTGTGTGTAAGCGGGACACAGAGGGAGACCAGGACAGGGAGAGAGATGGCCGGTGGTGGGGGTTTTTTTGTGTGTTGAAAGGAGCAGGGAAAACGAAGCTCGGAGGCAGGATGGTGTGGAAAAAAAAAGGGAGGGAAAAAAAACAACAACAACAAAGAGCAGCCTGAATAGATTCCAGGGGGGTTGCCGTGGAGACGGAAACGGCGGAATGGAGAGCCACAATTGGAAGTCTGATTGGTGCTCGGAGGGGCTGTCAGTCAAGCGAAGGACCGAGCTTGAAAACACCTGCGCTGCACAAAAACAGCCCTGGCCAGGCGAGGACAGGAGCCAAAGTCCTTCACATACACACACACACTGGGAAACAAGGGCACGGAAGCAAAATTCCTTAAAGGCGACGTGCAGTTTCCCGTTAACCCGCCTGTGGCCTTCTGAAGGAGTGAAGGCCCGCTTCTCCAGAGGATGTTTTACCAAGCGCCAGGTTCTCCTGCCACCGGCGCCAAAACGCCCACTCAGAACTCTTCCCCGCTGCCCCCTCCCCCCGACGATGACCCCCGCTGGTGCTGTGAGATGGGCGCCTCTCAGGTTATGTTACTCCAGCGCAGGGGAAATTCTTGTAGGCCGGCAGAAACAAGCCAAGGGAACTCAGCGCGAGTCGGATGGTGATTCAGTCTCTCCTGGGAGAAACCTGGTCCCTGGATTCGAGTGGGAGTTTTCTGGATCCGTGTATAAAAAAGATTACAGCCAAGACTTTGGCAGAGTTCTCCTCTGGGCTGTGGGAGTGTGGAGCATCCTAGCCCCGCCACGATGCAGAAGCAGACACCTTGATTTCTTTCACGAACTGGCTGGATGAGAACCTTGGACTGCTCTCCCACCCGTACTGGGGCACTGATCTACAAATACTGAGAGTGCCACCTCCTGGTCCATCAGCACCGTCTACTGAGGCACCCTGTCTTCCTTAGACACCTCGGACTGACCAGGCCCAGCTTTGCTAGGCTTCTGAGATCTGACATCAGCCCACCAGGGTGGAACAGATGTTCAGTTTTGGATTCCATTTACAATCCAAGGGCTGGAGCTTATGAGCAAAGCAGCAGGCACTGTGGTCATAAGGACAGGTGTGGGGGAAGCCCAGCTTCAAAAGAGAACACACCTCTGCTGCAAACCGAGAAACACTCATGCGCCCTTGCTTCTTCGGAGAACAACTACAGGAGTGATGGAGAAACACGGACCGGAGCGCACAAGGGGAGGACTGAAAAGAAGCACCCAGCAGGCGCTGGACACAGAGAGTGGTGGGTGTCTGGAGCAAGCTTTCCATCTGTGTCCTTGAAGTTGGTTTCTCTGGGATCCTTCCTGAAATGGCTCACATTAAAAACTTCCCAACAACCCAGAAGCGTGACTAATGGCCTTCTGTATCACCCATGACCTTACCACGGTGTTTGTTGAACATGTGCCGAGCAATCTGCCCGGACAGCACACACACTGCTGATGCTAGGCCAGACTCCATAGACGCTATAAGTAGGAAGAAGGTTCCTAATAAATTGGCCAGGCGATGCATTACCTTTAATTGGCGAGCCAATTAAACCCACCCCCCACCGCCCTCAAACACACACACATTTTCAAGCTCCCGTTAAAGTCCTCAATAAGATATTAGTGGGGGCCTACGAGGCGCAGACCACACAAGTGGTGCATTGGTAACTGTTGATTAGGGCCAGGGGGACTAATTGGCAGATGCTCGTGTTGGCAGATGCTCTGTTCTGGCTCCTTTTGCCCTGTTATTATCGTATTTAGGAACCCCGCTGAACAATAGACGTGCGAACCGACAGCAATAGAAAGTGCTCTCTAACTGCTTATTAAGGGGAGAAGCTAATCTTTTGTGCATCAGGTTGTTAAGGTAATGCTGTCAGGAGTGGAGGTGGGAGACAGGGGAGGAGATGTGGTGTGGGCTCATTGAAGAGTTATTATTGTTCATTTGTTTTGTGTGCACATTTATATCCAAGGCAATTTAATTAATATCATCACAATTTGTACAATACTCAATCACTGTTTGTACCATGAAGTGTCATGGTAAATAACTCACATGGAGCAATACAGTACAGTGATCTCTTAGAGCTGGAGGGACGCATGGCAGTCTTTGGAAATACGACGTCTAGCACAATAGAGGGTGCAGAATGAATAATACAATAGTTCAAGACCAACACGACGTGATCGAGCAAAAACAAAAGGAAAATTAGTCAGAATCATGGCTTCAATCAACGTCACAGTAAAAACACGGATTCATAGGAAGACTCTTCTGTAGCAGATGCAAAGCGAGGCTGTCATGATGACTTCATTGAGCTTCATAGCATACTAGCGCAATCTGAGTCTCACTGCCCCAAAGACAGAGACCAGACTGATCCAGGGTCCTTGACTCCATCTGCTCCTTGGACTGAGTCTCAGCAATTGGCTTTCACTATGGATTATAACGGAGATCATACTGTTGTTAACCAGTGTCATCATGGGGCTCTATATTCTTACTGTCCACTTACTTATGTTCTTTTATGTTACAGATATTATGTCTTTTATCTGCTTTGCAAACAGGTAAAAGATACAACACAAAGTGCAATACATTTGATACAACCTGAACCCATTAAAATGTCCAATACACTGATACAGCCCAGTCACAGGTCTCTAGAGTCTTACAGTCCCTGTGGAGTCCAGTACACTGACACAGTCCAGTCAAAGGGCTCTAGACTCTTACAGTCCCTGTGGAGTCCAGTACACTGACACAGCCCAGTCACAGGGCTCTAGACTCTCACAGTCCCTGTGGAGTCCAGTACACTGACACAGCCCAGTCACAGGGCTCTAGACTCTCACAGTCCCTGTGGAGTCCAGTACACTGACACAG